TTATGAAAAAGACTTCCTGTACTAACTACATGTGTAATATTTGGTAAACTTTCACACGCTTGGAGGTCTGAAACTCTGCTTCTGTTGGAAACAAATGGTAGGTTCTTCTGTCTTAGAGAACAGTGGTGGATTGCTTCTGTCCCTTATAAGCAGAAGACATTTTAAAATTTAGCACTTTTCTGTCTGGAAAAAAGCCCACTAACCTCATAGACACCTTTCACAATGTCTCATATTAGTACTTGCCTGTGGAGGACTGTTACTTCCCCAGCGTCTCAATTCATTTTTTGTTAGGAGGCTGTGCTTTAATGCTGGGCCAGTGCTGACACGTCCCAAGCCCTGAAGATACTAGAATAACAGATGGTGTCAGATGGCAGTGTCATTAACCGGTGTCACTTGAACTGCTATTTAACAGTGCTGTATTGGCTTGAGCCTGGGACATAAAGATTTGCTCTTTGAGACCCTCCAGACTGACTTCGTGCTGAACTAATAGGTCAAACTCAGTTCTATGTCAAATATGAAGGACAAGAGAGGAGCCTTCCAGCAGATACTGTGGAGCCCTGTGATTGATATTTGGGTGCATGTGTCTCAGAAAAATTATGCATGACCTGCTCTAAGGCATCAGACAGAAGTCACATTTATCAGGGAAAATCTTCTGAATGCACTTGATGCCTTTATTTCCACACAGTGAAAGAAAGGAAGAAACAACCAAATTCTTCAAAAAGTAAATAACATTATGGCAGGTTATAATACTGCAGTACTTAACTGGTATATTATGGCTTTCTGAATCATTGAGCCTTAAGGTATTTATGTGTGCTATCAGAAAGAAAAATGCTGAAGAACATTACCATATTACGGAATACACCAGGGACAGTATTATTTCCTAAAATTGGCCAGTGTATGTGAAAAAGCAACATCAAAAAATGTATCTGGAGCAGTAACAGCTATGGCAACTATAGTCTCTCACTATCAGCAAAGTAATATTCTGCATTTATACTGAGAACAAAGCCTCAGGACAGGCTTCTAAGATTGGCTGTATATTAATTTCATTAATGGAAAAATTAAACACAGGATTTTTTTTTGGTATTTTTTGAAAGGTATGTCAAGCTTGTGAAAAGGGGTAGGAACAGAAGTAAAATCTGCTTTATCCTTGGCTATTTTACACATAAAAATTTCAGTAATTGTCCTTGGAGGCATTAAGAGGCATTCCATCTTAGCAGCTCTTCAGTGGTTAAGGAAGAGGGGAAAGAAAATCGTATGTATTTCTAATGAACATCCCTAAGAAGGAGACAAAAATCACTGAATGACTTTCCTCCATTTTCATAATCAAAAACCTATTTCTAATTTCTACATATAGCACTAAGCAGCAGTATTTCGGAACCGTCATTCATTCCCATGGTAACATCCCTTGATATTACAAGCAGTTAATTATGTCGTTGCCATGTGGTACACAGTGTGGTTTATTTACGGAAGGAGATAAACATTTAATGAAAGCATCTTTGAATATATGAACAAAATAAAACCTGATGTCTTTCCTCATGCTTTATGCAAAGAAAATACAGTATTAGCAGATACCTGCTGAAACCTATAGAAATGCTCTTGGTAAAAAAAGATTATCATTATAGAGCAAAGAGAAGATATTTTTAATTAAACAAAATTATTTTCTAAAAAGGCATCATATAAAAATATACTCTGTATGACTGGATTTGATATAAATACATTCTATATTACTAGGGATTCAAAACAGAATAGATGACTTTGTGGTCATTTTGACAATTCTCAGCTAAAATACACGTCCTTTCTGTCATGAAGTAAATGCACCTGACTGTCATCAGGATGCCCCTTGTAAGGGAAAGGACCTGAGAGAAGACAGCCAAAAATTTCTGAATTGCTTCACTGGAAACTGCAAAAAGAACATTCTGTACTTGTTTTATATCCAGATTTATAGTGCCTGTTAAATAATTCTGTTGTGAATGGTCACTGGATGTGCACTGTTATAAACTTAAACGAATATTATTTTATTAAGAAGTAACCTGCAAGTATAATGTGGTCAATACAGGGAAAAGAACACGGGTTGAGTAAAGTCTGAAAAAACCTGCTTAAAATGTCAACCTAAAAAAAGTTTTTGAAAATAATAACCTTAAACTTTATAAAATTTAAAAGGCAGGCCTTAAACTAAAACCCAACTTACTGATATTTCTTAAAAATGCCGTATAACTCTTTGTAAAAGGAGTTAGCTCTGGAAGGCTCCTCAGATTTTATCTATCCATTTATTTTTATCAATAATTTTGACAACTCTGAGATGTATGATGGCTAAACCTTCAGTTTGAGGGGCAGAATAAAATGGACTATATTGCAGACTTACCTAAAGTATTCAGCTAAAAAGCTAAATGAAAAGAAGTGAACTTTAATATGATGAAATGCAAGGAGAACATACAAGAATAAACTTTTCCTGATTTACCTACAGGATAAAACCTCTGTTTAAAAAACTGTTTCATCAAATTGTCGAGGTCATAATGGATTATCACTGTATCAAAGAGCACTACTGTGACACTGTGTTAAAAATGTTTAAAAAGAAGAATGCCGCGTAAGAGTAGAGATGACCTTCTGTTTGCTAAGTAACCACTTTGTTGAGTCCAGTGCTGATACAGCATATCTTGATCTGATTAAGCCACTTCAAAAGGCGCATGAAAACCCTGAATAATTCAAAGGAAGACCACAAAAAATATCAGATCCAAAAAGCAACTCGTAGAAAATGAATCTTAAAGTGTTCTACCTAGCAAAGACAGTGTTGAGAGGCTACTTAATGACCGTGTATCGGTAAGTTAGATGGGGATTTTCAACCTTGCTATCAGGAATTATACAAGAGCCAAAAACTGAGTGATGAAGTCAGAAAAATTCAGCCTCACAGGAAGAAGTAACATCCTTGAAGTTAAGTGTCAGGGCAGATGACAAGCAGAGTCATATAACTCAACATTATCTGCTCTGCAGTCTCTCCAATGAAGCAATTTTCATGGGTAAGAGATACCTGGGGGAGAATCAGACCAGGTGCAGTAGCAGCCCCAGCTAACTTTTCCTTTAACCCAGAAGTGAAGAGATTTGCTCCAAGGTTTATCTTGCTGCTGCTCTCTGAAGCCCTGAGCAGTGGATGGACACTGGAGATAAACCTCAAGGGGTGTTCTGTGGTGCTACAGAAAATCCATTTTCTTGGACAGCCTGCTGGCATGTGATGCTCAGATGAATGTGATGGACAGATTTCAGCTCAGAAGGCATTTTGCACAGGTCAGACCAGCAGAAATCCTGGTGTTTTCTTCCTGCCTTCCCAGGGATCATCTACTGGCTAATTTGGGGATATCTAATCTCATCAGTTTGCTACAGAAGCTGTGAAAGGTGGTGGGATCTCAGTCTCTCCTGTGCTCTGTTTATCATGCATAACTGTTAAACTATATATGATTTAAACACATTAGTGTAACCCAAATTTACAAAGTTAATAGCCCATGATGTTGACAAGACATGCAGGGATATTGTGAAGAAATATAAATAGCAGGACTTAGAAGGAACTAGGCTGGAAGGCTCTGAGAGCACTACGGAAGTGCCATGGTACACACTGCAGCCACACGTGTATAGGGAATTAATTGTCTTGAGGGGGTAACAAATGGCTTCACAATGCTCTCAGGAGACTACTGGAGACTACTAGACTAAATGTTTCTCTTTCTAATGTATCTGGGAAAAAGAATTTAACACCTGGATATTGCCACAAATCCTTTGCTTTCATTTCATGGATCCAGCACCCAAAGACAGACTATTCCCAGTATCTCTATCTGGTTTTATTCTGATCTCTAGTCCAGAGCTGTAGCTGGTGAAATGCTTATGCTTGTACTTAAACAGATACCCCTGCTAAACACTCATCTTCTTTCGTAAAGGAAGGAATCTTCAGCATTTCTTCTTGACACAGTAATCTTTTCTCCATCATTTCAGCAGCTCATAATTTATCCCTTTTACTTGCTTCTAGACTCATCATTGTTATGGCACCCTCACAGAAGCAATACAGTACATCAGACTAAAGCTGCTGGGGTTAGAGGTTTACACTTGGTTTTTGAAGGCTGTGATTTCAAACTTTCAAATAACACAATATTTATAGCTTTACCTAGGGTCATAACAGTGGCTACTAAAGCACCGACAAAAAAGAAAATGAAAATACAAGTATAATACGGCTTTCACATCTGATCTTTTTGACCTGGGAAACTTAGGTATCATATACTTAATTCTATCCACTGAAAGATTAAATTTGTATTGATTTTGTTTAACTGTTGCAGGCTGTAAAGAAACCTTAAAATTACTGCAGTTGTACCCTGATTTCTTAGCAACAACACTTTTTCACACAATTAAATATACTAAATTTTGGAGTGCAGCTCAATACAGTTTAAAAGTGCTGCTTTTATCAAAGCACATCTACGCATATTCACACCTGAAGTGATTGAAGCTTTTTGTTTACTTTCTCTGATTAGACTTCACAAGATCTGTATCAAATTTTAGGTTGGAGTCTTTGCTGGTTCTTTTCCCAGTGTATTGACTTGTATCTTACTATATTCCTCCTGGTAGAGAAATATTAATACACTGTGAAGATGCTACATTTAATGAAAGTGTATTAACTTTATGTAATGGCCGCTGCATCCATCAGGTATCATTCTGGGACTGCTGTGAGCTCCACAACGTTCCTTACAATACAAAAAGTCTTAGAAACAGACAGGGTATCTATGCCAATGCCTCTATGATTTTTTTTAGCATCATCAGTGGATATCATACTCCCAAGTTTGAAACTATGACAGCATAAAGACACAGTGGTTAGCAGCATTAACAGAAAACTGAGTATATCAGTTCAATCTTCTTCATGGCTTATAAAATACTAGGTACTGTATTACAGAAATACTATTTTTGTTCTAATACAACATGAAAAGAGTTTTCATAAAGATTTACAGGTTAATAGAGAGTACTGCACTTACCAAGATGTGTGTTCATCATCTTTGCACAGTATTTGCACATGGCTTCCAAGTCGTTTAGTTGTCCTTGTAGGAATGAAATCTGGGCCTCCAATTCCTCCTCCTACAATTAACAGATTATTAGCATTAACTCCCCCTGACTTTCTATAATATGCAGTAAAAGTGGTAAGCTAACCCCTGACTTGCTTAGACATCTTTTAATTTTTCCTATTCCTTGGATCTTGAGAAAATTATGGAAATAAAAAGAATCACTTTCCAACTGTATTTCTTAAAATAATTTTATATTCTTTTGTCATTTCATGGCAATAACAGGATTTGGTTTTAATGTTTCAGTGTTTGTTAACACAACTCTAGCTGCATGAAAAACCTGCACCTCTATAAGTCTTATGTAATAGTCAGGTGAAAACTCATGTACCATAGGTGATTACTCTAAATCATGTTATATTTAAAAGCATTGAGTAATTTAAAACATGAGTTAAAAAATATTTTTGATTTTAGGGCTGAGGAGAAACATTATGATCTAGCCACATGCCCTATCTAAGCAATGGGAACTACCTCACTAAGAATTCCTCTTTAAACTCCATTGTTTGGTGATTTAGAAATGCATCCAGTCTTGACTTTGAAAACTATTCTGCAGAGAAAGTTCAGCACTCCTTTGGAAAAGTTCCCTCAGAGCTTAGTCACAAACTGTATTAAACAGTTTTTTGTTTAAGTATGCAACTGAATTCAAGATATTCAGGTAAAAGAAAAATAACTGTTTAGTCTCGCAATTTGCTTAGGAGTTTTGCAGTTCCAATGTAGTCTTGTTTGATGGAGATTGCTGAACGTTAGAGTGTGAATTGTGTTTCAAATGAAAAAAAATCCAAAGCTGATCAGCAAGAATAAAGAATGAATCAATCTTGATTTAAAGGTTATCTTAACCTCCTCAGAAACTGAGTGAGAGCTAAGCAAAGGAAACTTTGTACCAATGCAGCATATATACAAAACCAATTGATAAATAGAAAGAAATTTAACAATAGCATTTTGCAAGATGACCTTCTTCCCTTCACACTTTTTCTTCCCACTTACAATCTGCAGAAACTATACATTTTTCTTTGCTATTTCCTTATGTTAATGTACTCTCACCTTATTTTACACTTTGACCATGTAAGCCTCAAAGGGATTGATTTTATGTTGCAAATTTATATTTGTTCAATGAGTAACCTCATTTATAGAATCACAGAATAGTCTGGGTTAGAAGGGACCTTCAAAGGTCATCTAATCCAACCCCCCTGCAACGAGCAGGGACATCTTGAACTAGACCAGGTTGGCCAGAACCACATCCAGCCTGGCAAAAGTCTGCAGTTCTGTCACAGCCTATACAAACATATCTGCATTGATATTTCTATTCAAGCAATGTCCCTGCAGAAAACCTGTTCCCAGCACATACAGCTAGTGACTGCAAAAAATAATCTACCATAAATTTTAAATTACCACTGCACCACAAGCACAGCTGTAAGATAGGGAAAGGCATTGGCATTTGAGTATTTTGCTATAAAATAACATAACCAAATTCTGAAATCATTAGCCAGTAATTGAAACCCAGTTTATCTCCTACAAGTGAATATGAAACATGTTTCCCAGACTATTTTTTTCTCATTCATGGATGAAAAGTGCAGTAAATTGATCTTAAAATGCTTTTGGACAGCTCTATCCACTTGAATAGATTCTGAAACTAACCTCTTCATTTGGCAAACGAGATGGCTGCTGAGTAAACTGCATCCACTGTTCTTTTAGCTTATTAGGATACCAGCATGGGGAGTAGAGACATTCAGGAGACCCAGCACTCACAAAGGAGGTGCCAAAGGAGGCTTTCCTGCCAAGTGGGAAATCTTGCACAAGGCTATGCAAATGCCTTTGGGGTTCCTGACTTATCTGTCACCCTCAGGAAGCGCACCAAGGAGTGCTGCCAGTGGGATGTGCAAATAAGCAAGACAGTTAACATGGCATTTGACACATGGGAGACCCAGATGTGCTGTTTGCATAAGAAGACAACGCTCAAATGGTGATGACTTGCTACAAGACATAAGCCCTGCCCCTGCTGTCATTTGCAGTGCTGTGGCAACCTCTCTGCACCCCAAGTGTAACCTCCCTGGTGGAAGGTTTGCTCTGTTGCAGTTGCTGCAGCAGCAGGTAAAGCCCTGCAAGAAAAGGCAAATGTGTTGTATTGCATGAGGATGGCAAACAGGTGATTGACAGCATCTGTTAAGATGTAAAAGCTTATACAAGTGACAGGGAGGGTGCAACTGAGGCAAGATGGAGTGGGAAGAAGGCATTAAGAGGGTGGGAACTGGTAGCTTGGGAGTTAGGGCAGCAGTGGTGCAGGGCCCAGGCAGCACAGGGGAAGAGCAAGCTCCCTCAGGGGAAGAATTCAGGCTGGACACCATATCAGAGTGCTAACAAGAGAAGGTGGTGAGTGACAGTGAGAGGCTGGTGACTCTCTTCCAGCGGACTCATCAGCTCAGGAGGTTTCTTGCCTGCATGGACCTTCCCTTTGTGCTGTTGCCGAAAGACTGGGGTCACCTAATATTCTGACTTTTTTCATGTTTATTCATGCATACACCAATGATACAGTGATGTAAAACCATTTCAGTTCAAAAGTGAATGCAGGGCTCCTGGTGGACTGGAGTCCTGGCAGTGTTCCTCACTAATCCTATAGCAAAGGGAAAAAAAAGCCTGGACATTATCAGACGTATCCAGTAAACCACACATGGCTGTGCACTTGTTAGCACCAGCTAAGCTTCCACTATTTTGCTTGTGGCAACCAATTTAATGAGGAAAGACGACTTAGAGAACAGGTATACCTAGAAAAGAAGGGGAATAGCATCTCCGTAACAGTTGCTGACTTAGTGCAGAGGACTGTGTCATAGGAAGGAGACCTAACCCAGAAATACATAAGGAAGCAGCATGTACAAAATATGCAGAAGGTCCACTTGGCTGAGTAAGGAGCTTCTTAATGAGCCAAAATGGGAAAAGCACATATGGAGATGGAAATGGTGGAAATGGAGAGCACATATGTGGAGACAATGACGGGAAACAAAGCACACAATCATTGTTCAGGCACAGGAACAAAACTAGGAAGAACAAAACCCATCTGGAGCTAAAATAATGGGGGACAGCAAAGGGAACAAGAAGAAATTTTACAAGAACCAGAACAACAAAAGGAGGTTCAAAGAAAACACTGGTCTGCTGCTTACTAGGGGAGATAATGATGGACGATACAGAAAACCCTGCAGCCCTCAATACCATTTTTGCCTCTTGCTTTTTTGGCTAGATCTCTTAATGTACAGCTTGGGAAGGAGAGGGATGTCTAAAGGGGTGGGGTGGGGGAAATAGTTCTTTGAATACCTGAAGAAGCAGTGTGTTCAAATACATGGGGACAAAAGGAATCATCACATCCACGAGTGCTGAAAATGCTGACAATGTGATTGCAACACCACTGGTGATCATGAAAAATCACTGCTATTACAGGACATCCTTGATGACTGGAGAAAGGTTAATTTTACATCCATATTAAAGAAAAAAGAGAAAGAGGATCTAAGAAATAATATAACTGTTGGCCTCACCTTAGTCCTTGGAAAAATCGTGGAGCATGTCCTCTTGGAATCAATTTCCAACATGTGAAGGACAAGACAATAATCGAGAAAAGTCAACAAGGATTTATAAAGAGCAGATCATGCTTGACCAATCTGTTTGCCCACTATGATGAAATGATTTGCCATGCAGATGAAGGGGGGAGCAGTGAATGCAATATATTTTTACTTTAATTAGGCTTTTGACACATTTCCAAAAGCATCATCATTGATAATATGACAAAGTATTGGGCTGAACAAAAGGATTTTAGGTAGGCTGAAAACTGGTCAGACCCCTAAGCTCAAAGAATAGTCAGATGGTGATTGGAAATGATCACAGTAACTAATGGACTGCTATGAAGATACTGCTCAATATCTTCATCAACAGCCCATATGAAGTGACAGAATGTACACTCAGTAGATTTTCAGATGAGGCAAAATCGGGAGGTGTGGCTGCAGTGCTGATCAGTAGAACTTCAATTCAGAAACACCATGAGACACTGGAAGCCTAGGCAAGAGAAACATTTTGAGGTTTCTGTTTCAGAGACTTCAGTAAGTGCAAAATTCTGCACCTGAGGAGAAAAAGCCCAGTGCACCAGTGCAGACACAGAAGGAACTTGATATGTTTCAGGCCTGCTGAAAAGGATTTAGAGGCTTCAGTGGCTGCTGAATTGTTTATAAACTAATAAGGCTCTCTTACCACAAATAAAGTAAACAGTGCAATGGGCTATATTAGGAGGAATGTTGTCAGCAGATCCAGGAAAGTCATTACCCTTACCTACTCTGTGCTTGTAAGCCCTCACCTGGAATAATGTTTTGGGTCTCCAGTTCAAGAAGGATGTCGAGAAACTGGAGAGGGTCCATTGCAAGGCTACTATGACGGTTACAGGTCTAACGGAGAGGCTGAGCAAGCTATTTTGGCAGAGTCGTCTAGGGATCTGCTGGGAGCCTGCAGCTAGATGGAGCTTTACAGATCATGTAACAAAACTCTTCTCAGCAGGAGCAAATGGCATAGAAGAGACCATGACCCAAAATTGCCCCTCGGAAGGTTCAAACTGGTCATTAGGAAACTAATCTTCATTAGAAGAGCAGTGCAGCACTGGAAGAAGTTACTCATAGAAGTGGTAGAGTATCTATTCAAAGCCACTGGCCTGATCCAATGTTAGTGATTATCCTACTCCAAGTAGCAGCTTGAGCAGAGGTCTCTTCTAATCAACATTTCTGAGACTAATTTTTTCACACCATCTTTCTAAATACGTTCTTCAAATTATGAATGTTTTAATGTTTTGTAAAGGTAAGCAGCAAAATCACAAAACCCCTCAGAAAAAAAGGACTTTTTTTTTTTTCATTATTCTAAAGTCAAATTCTTTAGCAGTAATAGATGAAACAACTGATTTATAGCCATCATTGTGCAGATGCTCTCAATGCTTGTACAGACATTATCCACTGTGCTTTTCTCTAAGTGCCAACTTTAGTGTTCCACTGTGCTGAGAAAACAAGTACCCTGGATACCATTTTTATTTTGTGTACAAATTGTAGTGCTGATTTCATCTGTCTTATGCATGAACAGAGACTTAGAAATTCTTTGAACAAGCCAAATGTAAGTCAAGAGAAAAACAGTATGGTCTATGCTTCCTTGAGAAACTGACCTTTCAGCTGATCTGACACACAGTACCAGAAACACGTGAACAGTGATTCAAACTCATTTTGCCAATGCTAACTCGAAGGTTAACCAGCTGACCACAAAATAAAAATAAATCATTTAAATTACTAACCAAAATAAAAAATCTATGTCAACTTATCAAACAACCTATAAAGCATATAATCTTAACATTTTCTAATACTGGGAGCTGCATTATGAGGAAGAAAAAACAAATCAAGCAGCAAATCAAAGGAATCCCATGCATCAGACATAGGAGACCAAGACGTACAAAGTTAATGATGAAGTCTTGCAGAAAACCAACTTAATGATACTTTCTGAAACTTTAGTCCCAGGGTCCTCAGAAAACTTTTCTACACCTTCAACATTCCAGATGATGTAGAGCTTTACAAATAAGCAGTAACATCTTGAATTGGAGCATGAAAAGGAAGCATATTATTTGTGATGCCACACTGATTTACATTTCACAATATGAAGCAGGTATAGTATTTATGCCTCAAGTCAAAGCAAGAATGCTCCATCCCTGGCAGTGTTCAAGGCCAGGTTGGACAAGGCTTTGGGTGATATGGTTTAGAGCAAGGTGTCCCTGCCCATGGCAGGGGGGTTGGAATTTAAGGTCCTTTCCAACCCTAACTATTCTATGATTCTATGATTCTATATACACATCTCCAACTATTTTCCTTATTGTGGCAAGACTGAATCTGCAAAACACTTGACTTCTTACATTTATGTTTCTCATATTCATCTTCTTAGCCACATCCAGAACTTTGCTTACATTGTTACACTTCCTATTTTCTTTAGACATGAAAACTAATTCCTTTATGATTAATTATTTGCCATTTCTTTGCTATTTTTTCCACCAATCTATACAGCTCTGGTGCTTTCCATTTGTCCAAAGCTCGCTCTTCCCTTTTTATTACCTTTCCTTTCATCTATCTTCTCACCTTTACAAAGACAGCTATGGAAGTAAATTTTTTATATCCTTCGCTCTCTCCTGAGCTGATAATGAGATCAGCCATTGCCGCTACCATATCCCGTTTTTCATCAAATTTTACTGTTACAGAAAAGCAGCTTTGACTAGCTGATGGTTAGCACATTCAAGAACAGATTACAGAAAGTTTTACAGTTTTGACATTGCAATCCTACTCTTTTACAGCTGATCGTTTACAAGCTGCAATAAGGGTTGCGGACATGGTAAGGGCACTGGAATATAGCACCATACACAAGCCAAAGTCTGAAGAAATGCAGTTTTAGAAGAAACCACTCTTTCTCAACCTTGTTTTTATCAGTTTAAACAAATTTTCTCCAAAATACATGACATGTAGTTTAACACAGATGCATGGAAAACAGGGACACAAACTCACAAAACCAGGACTGTAACATCATTCTTTCATAATACCATTTAGTTTTCAGTCTTACTGCTCAGGAAATGAAAGAAAAAATGTATTTTGTCTGTTTTATGCATGAAGGAAGAGTAAACTCTGCTGTGAAAAGCTTACAACAATATATATCCAAACACTTCATTCAGGAACACCTGGAATAGCAAAACTCCATTCATCTTAAAGCTGAATCCTGAATATGAATTAATTTGGCAGCACTACCAAGTGTTAAGTACAGTGGAAAAGAAACTATCTTCAAAGAGAAGAGTTTTTACAGGTATTTAAGGTGTTTAAGCAATAATGCTAAAATTTAAAACATAACACAAGAAGTGACAGAACTCTGTCAGAGAAAAAGACCAGTCTGATGCTGGTGAATGATAGGTCAGCTAAAGTTTAATGAAAAAAGTATGTCATGATATAAACATGTAATGGTGCTCCTTGAAATACTCCCTGAGACTACACAGATTTGCAGATCAGGGATTTCTTGCATTTCTTTTGTTAATAGCTATTTTTCCTATATTAATTTGCCCAGTCACATTTCAGTATTCAAAATAAGAACATTAAGGAAACATCCCCTGAGCTCCTGGCAAATTGGCAGGATAAATTAGAAAATAACTCTGATGAGGAAAATAATGGGAAAATGATATTCATACATGGAAATCCTGAAGCTAGGGACTTGATAAGAGTTACCAGTATTTAAGTGCTTATTCAGGAAATATACAGAGACTATACCTTTCGGATATCAGTAGCATTTTGCATGTCAAACAAGATTCAGATGCATGGCATAAATTGCTTTCTCGTTTGATTTTATGCAAATTTTGCTGGAGTACATAGCAGCGGCTGCTGCTTCCATTTTGTGCGAACTTACTTAGCTTTCATTTTTGAATCTAATAATGAAGTACAAGATTTATATTACCACCAAATACAATATCTTTTAATCTTGAACCAGCTGAATGTTGGTTGACACTCCTGTAATTCTTTTATGATCTATGCCAGCCACAGAATAGTCTACAGCATATGCTGACATTCAAACTAGAAACCACTGTTTCTGAACAATGAACTGCATACAGTGGAATTGAAAACAAAATTTTAATTTATTTCATGTAGTAATTTAGCTTATCTATTATTTGATTGTATCACTCACGGGCCCTCATCAGGACCAAGACCTTGCTCTGCTGGGTGCCATACAAACATACAGAAGAAAACCCGCTTCTCTAAAGGACTTAGCAATGTAAGCCAAGAGACGACAGATGGCTTCAGACACACATATGGGGAGGACATGGAAACAATATGGCTGTATTAGTCAGTCTTACAGATATGGCTTCAGCATGTTAGCAGCCAATGGAAGAGTGGAATTTTTTGGAGAGTTTTCAGAAGGCATTTGCTTTGCAGATATTTAGGGGAAGTTTCTTCTACATGGAAGGGGCTGAAATGATTGGATGCAAGTTCGCCATGCACAGCAGTGTCAGGGATAAAATATGTATCATCACTTTTACATTGAGAATTTTGCTACTTGTGAAACATCTGCATATATTTGAATAATTTCAGATATTAATATATTACCCTGGTTGGACACAAAGAAGTTCAGATACTGCCTTCAGGTATTACCTCCTGAAGAAGTAGAGGTGCTGAATCATTACCTGCCAATATTTCTGTGCTAGCTGGAGTATCCCCATGATTAATATATTTCCAAATACACCTTACTGATGTTTTCTGTTCACATTTTCACAAGTGCCAGGTTGTTTGGATTTTTATTATTATTTTGAGTATACTTTCATCAACATGAAATATTTTAAGTACAGTATCTTTCAGATAAATCCTACAGACATATGTTTGGTTCCTTTGGACTTGCACGCACAGTGAACTGGAGTCATGCTTTTATTTTACACCATGTTAACCCCTGATTATTATTTTGTTTTACACCATTATAACTCAGACTGCTTCTACAATCCCTGGATACTATGAGGTGGCTCACGTAGTGATGTCTT